CCCCAAAACCCCAAAACCCCAAAACCCCAAAACCCCAAAACCCCGTGATCTCATAAATATATTATTAGAAGACGATTTGTAAATAATTAAAGGCTTATTAATTACATGAGATGAGATATTATATTAAAATAGCTTCAATTTTTTTGATAGAGCAGTTTTACATCTTTCAAGCCATTTAATCTCATTATTTCTTATAATTCATGTAGCAAATCATTGGTAGCATAAGGCCCATCAAGGACTATTTTATCATAAATCTAAACTAAGTCAGCTCCTAATTTTATTTAGTCATATAGCTATTAGCCAGTCATTGTCTTTGTTTAAGTAATTAACAATAAGTCTTTATTCGAATCTAGTTCTCTGAATTTTTTAATCAAATTTTTTGTATTTTCGACACTGTCATCTTGTAGTACTATTCCATCAATACCATGAATTTTGCATTTGCTTATTATAGTAGCAAGGAATTTTTATTTATCTTACACATAGTTTAAAGATATTTAGAGGAATATCATCATTGGCTTTAGTGTTGATATCATCGAGTTTCTTTAATAGTATCTTCTTAAAGAGAAGGTATAATCCCTATATAAGTCTTAATCAGCTAATTCGTATTCCAAAGCTGCTAATTTACCAAGTTCTGAGTTTCTAGCTTTTACTGATTCTGAAATCAACTTCTCGAGAGCCTTTTCATTCTTGTAATATTATGAAAGTCCATTTGAATTAGCATCCTCAGTTAAATTTAGCACAACATAATCACAAAGGTCATTTAGCTCTCTAATGTTTTTAGTGAAATCTGTATGAGTCAAATAAGGAATTGATCTCTGAGTGTCTAGATTGGCCTAAACATTCACACCAATTATAGAGTTAATCACAGGCGATATCTTTTAATCTCGAATAGCTGTTTATCTCCTTACAAGATTGCTAACAATTAAGTTCAAGCTTGGAGTTACTCCTTAAAATATTTATTTCACATCTCTATTCTATTCAATTATTGGAATAAGTGAAAACTAATTACCTTCAAATCAATGCTAATAACCTTTGTTCTCAACTTATGGGGATTTTGTTATTCTAGGGTTCCAGATCCAATTTCAACAAATGAAAGTCCTGTCTAATGTAAACAATCTATACCTTGCCCCTTTTAATCAAAGTTTGGCCCTAGTCCTATTGGGTTGTTGAACCTATATCCACTCTTGGTAATCACTTGCAGCTATATGCTCAATTAAACATTTAATGCGAATATACATTGATCAATGGGTCTAAATTTTTATCTGGTAAAGGTAATAATTTGAATTTAGCTGCCTAAACATATAAAAATAGCATTGCATTTCCTCCCTATATGTATGCTAAGAATTCATTTTTAATATTACTAATAAACTAAGCATTGTGGGATAATAAATTTTTTCAAAAGGATTCCATACATATTGTCTTAATTACTAAGGTTATTTTATTCTCATTTATTCATAAGAATAAACTGCAGCACCAGAAGATATCAAAAGAAAAGCCCAGAATTTTGATTTTCGTGATTAAAATATTACCATTAATTTATGATTATTAAATTTTTCACAATTTCTAAGTAATTAAAAGATTAATCTCTCGGGGTTTTGGGGTTTTGGGGTTTTGGGG